TGCTGGGGTCAAATTTATATTTAACTTTTTGAGAAATCACCTTGCCATTTTCCAGAGTAGCTGTACCATTTCACATTCTGAGCAGAAATGTATGGTGTTCTAGTTGCCCTGTATACATGTAAGCTCTTAGTATTGTCAGATTTTAGCCATTCAAAAGTATGTAAGAAATGGTATCTTATTGTGTTTTTAATTTGTATTCTTCTAATGGTCAATGATTTGGATTATCTTTTCATGTGCTTATTTGTCATTCTTATATCCTCTTTGGTGAAGTTTTTATTTCAGTTCTTTCCTCATATTTTAATTGTGCTATTTGTTTCTTACTCTTGAGTTTGAGAATCCTTTGTATATTCTGGATACAAGTCCATTATGGAGTATGCAGTTTTCAGATATATTTCTCCTAGTCCTTAGCTTGTCTCTTCATTCTCATAACAGTATCTTTGGAAGAACAAAAGTTTTTAAGTTTGATGAAGTCCAGTTTATCAGTTGTTGGTTTTTTTTTTTAATTGTTGTTGTTGTTCTTTTTTTTTTTTTTAATGTATCATCTGTTTGGTGTTATTCCTAAGACCTCTTTGCCTAACCCCAGTCACAAGGATTTAGCCTGTGTTTCTTCTAAAACCTTTATTGTTTTATGTTTTTCATTTAGACCTATGATCTATTTTGAGTTAATCTTTATGCAAGGTGTGCATTTTATACTAAGGTTTCTTTCTTCCCTTAAAGATGACTTATTGCTCCAATACCCATTAGTTGAAAAGAACATCTTTCCTCCACTGAACTGTGTTTTTACACTTTGTCAAAGATCGAATGGTTGTATTTGTGTAACTCTATTTCTGGAGTTTCTATTTTGTTCCATTGATCTCCATGTCTGTATCTTCTATCTGTATCTTTTAACTAAAAAATTAAAAAAACAAAAACAAAAACCCAAGCCAGAAATACTTGTCATGTGTCATGAGCAGTAGAGGGTAGATGAGGGACAAGGCAGTCCCCTGTGTGCCCCAGAACTAGCAGTGACTGATCCCTCCTGTCCTACCTTTGTCTTGCCACCTCCTGGCTCAGACATGACGGAAACTGAGCTGAGCAGATCAGTAAAGTTACCAGTTAAGTTCATGGTGTAACCGGTTAACAAAACTAAATGTCTTCTTCCTTAAAGACTCTTCCTCGCAGTGTGTCCTTTGTGCTGTCAACAGAAGAATAGGCCAGACTCACATAACTCAGAGCAGAGGGAAGGAAGCTATACCCTGACTTAAGGAAAAGTTTCAGATGAAAATACCACTTTGCTTCCCAGGCAGGGTGATAGGAAAATGGAAACATGTTTTACGATTTTATTTGAAAATAAATTGTCATGTAAGGCATAGCAGGAGTTTTATTACATCAACAACTGGTATCTGTTAAAAATACATTTCTGGGTTGCCTTTCAGCATGGGCCCTTTGAATGAGGAAAATCCAGAATGACATTCCAGTGCACAGAAATATAGATGGATGGACACATAGAGAGATGGAAACATTTCTAGATAGCCTTCTTTCCTCTCCCCTGGCCCAAACGGGGATCGTTTAATATATATACCATTTTGTAACTAAAATAGGTTGTCTTTGCAGCACAGAAAGCTGGGGTTGATAGCACAAATTATTTCTCATTTCTTTTGATCACAGGTGATACAAGTGGTAGAGTCATGGGTGTTAAGTAAACATGTTTTCTCCCTTCAGGCTGATGTTGGAGGACTTCTCTTTCTGGATGTATTAGGATAATACTTGCAGCTAAGAAATAATGTACTTTTTATTGACATGGCCAGATGGGCTCATTACTTGTCCAAAGACACATAGGTGTTTGGATTCCAAGATCCACTTGGAATCTTCTAATTATTGGACACTTTTTCAGCCATCCGGACAGTTTTAGGCTATGAATAGCGGCTTCTTTAGTATGTGTGCTGCCTAAGCGAGCACGAATAGTGGCTTCTTTCATATTTTCTTTCATATCTTATCCTTTTGCCCTGCTCTTTCTGAGTCGAAGTCAGCATTTAAAAGGGACATTATCTGGGGAGGTATGGGTGGCTCAGTCAATTAAGTGGCTTCCTGCAGCTCAGGTCAGAATCCCAGCATTGAGTCCCATTTCAGCCTCCTTGCTAAGCAGGGAGCCTGCTTCTCCTTCTGCCTGCTGCAACCCCTGCTTGTGCTCTATCTTTGTCTCCGTCCCTCTCTTGGACAAATAAATAAAATCAATTTTATTTATTTATTTGACAGACAGAGATCATAAGTAGGCAGAGAGGCAGGTGGTGGGAGTGGGGGAGGATTCAGGCTCCCTGCTGAACAGAGAGCCCAATGGGGGGGCTCCATCCCAGAACCCTAAGATCATGACCTGAGCCCAAGGCAGAGGCTTAACCCACTGAGCCACCCAGGCGTCCCTAAACTCTTTTTTTTTTTAAGTGACCTTATCTGATTCCCTTTCTACTATTGTTAATGGTCCTCGCAAAGTGAATGAATGAGCATTTACTCATTATTTACCTTTTACTTTTCTCACTTTATCTTATGCCTCTAGGTAGGATGGGATTAGACTGAAGAATGAGGAAAGGGTACACAGTACAACTGGTGATAGACACAAGTAAACCAGCAAGTTGTCTAGGAGCTACATAGAGTCCCCTACTCAGCCTTGAGAATCAGAGAAGGTCTGTATATGAGTTGGCCTAGTGAAGGGGGAAAGAGGTAGGGGAGAGTAGGAGAGTACCCAAGCAGAGAGCTTTGCCTATGAAAGTGCCAGGGAAGATGTCCATGATTTTCCAGAGGACTACAATGATATTAGTATTTCAGGAGTACAGAGTGCAGAGGTGGGTTTTGTATTGTCCAGTATTTGTTAGTGCAGTGTTGTTTCAGTACACACACACACACACCCTAGACTATCCTCCCTACCTCCCTAGATAGGGAATATATTCTTGAGTCCTCCATCAGCCCCACCCCTTTCCATTGTTCTACTCTATCCTGATTATTTTATTACCTTCCCCACACACGTAGGCATTTGAGTTGGGACCTTCCGCCTCTGAACTTAGATTAGACAAAGATCAAGCTCAAACTATCTCAGTTCCCATTTCTGGTATGATGGAAAGGAGACTAGCTTTTCGATGGGAATCTGAAGACCAATACAGTGAAAAAGATCTTACCTCTGAGATAAGACCAGGATGGTTACTCACATCCCCTTCCCTGGAGGAAAATGGAGTATGAAAACAGATATTTATTGAGATCCTATCATGTGCAAGGTACTATGCTAAGTTCTTTTATAATAGGCCTCTCTATAAAAGATGATAGTAATTTAAAAGGTCACAGGTGCATGTATGAAATTAAACGTATAATTTATAAAGTGATCTCATGCATCTCCAAATATCTTATATATGAGAAAGTCACTTTCATGTATAATGCAATCAAATTTTCATCACTACTGAGGATCAATCATGTGTTAGGCATGGACCATGGTGCGGATCCAGACAGATGGGGTCACTGCCTTCTTCACTGCTGGGGGCTTCCTCATAGCATGGACAGTTTTCTCTGTTGGGTTCTTAGATCTGTTAGCTTTGAGTCACCCTAGGATTAAAGGAAATTTTTGAAAAATATGTCAGCGTTTGTAACTTTGGTGAACTTTAACATATTTGTGTATTTAAGGTTGATTTGGATCAAGCCAACCCTTCACCTTGGAATGAAGATTGCAGCCATTGTAAGTCAAGAGCAAACACTTCTGTTGGTGAATCAGGGCTGACATTATCTTCCTAGGACTTTCATATTGTTCGTTTAGGGTTTTGAATACCTCACTAAACTGACTTTAAAAAAATAATTTCTCAGTCCTCACAACAGAAATGGAGCCAAAGCTGGTTTACAGGTTCGTACTGGCATTTGGTATGAGTCATGAGAAATGAGAATATTTATTTCCCCAGAAAGGAGGAGAATCTGAGTTGACTTTGAATCCCGCTCTGTGGCCCAACATAGTGCCTTCGGCAGCCTGTTGCTCAATAAATATTTGCTAATCCAAAAGCCACTTAGCCAGAGATCTCTATCTACAAAGAAAGGTCTTCTTCACCAATCTGTCAGAGGGCCTCCACTGTGGGACTGTCCTTTCTATTGGAAACTTTGCCCATGAGGAACTCTATCAGGGAGTAGAGAACTGGTTGGGTTTATATAACCTTCTGATTGCCAGGTATAGCATCCAGGTGAAATTAGAATGTAGTGAGCCAGCCTGAGCACAGACTTCTTCCTTCTCCCAGGATCTACAGGTGGCTGGCCGGTTGGTCTCCCTGTTCACACCCCGGAAGCACCACTGAGCCCTAGCGAGAGAAGAATCGCAGTTTCAGCATTCCCATCAGTGGCAGGGCTGGGGCCATGGAGGAAGGAGGGCCCCAGGCACAGAATGATGCAAGTTTGTATATCTGATGACAGGTGTCTGGGGGGGAAGCTGAGAGCTGTAGGAGAGGCCCCCTCAGAGGACCGGGAATCCCAAGTTAATGATTACAGTGAAGCAGCAGTAAGGACAAAACCCCAGAGTGCAGGGGAGGGGGTGGGGGGCGCGGCGGGGGGTGGGGGTGGTGGACGGGACCAGCAGGACTTTGGTGAAGCTGAAAATGAGGTGGAGAGAGGATTCTGAATTGCAGGAAATTCCAAGAGGCAGGCTCTCTGTTCCGTTTGTGAAAAACCCGAGTTTGGAATGACTGACCAGTGATAAGCCTAGAGAAGAAGATTCTGAAATATTCGGGAGCATCTGCTATCAAATGAAGGAGACTGGGTTACAAAGAGAAGGAAATGGAAAATCAAGGCAGTTTTGAGGAGGGGAGCTTCGCAATATTTACATAGACTATTTCAACTGACTGCAGTATTTCACAGAAGGGATCTATAGCAGCAGGCGTGAAGGCTGGGATTAATGAGGTGGGTGGAGCAGGGAGCTCTGGTGTGGCTTTCAAGCCCCGGCACAGCATGGAGATATGCAAATACAGTGGCTACCGAAAGCGAAGTGTCTGAGGCACCTAGGCTGAGCTCTCAGAGGTGGGTTTGGAAAAGACCTTTGCTCGGAAAGGTGCTTAGAAGTGAGCGGGGTTCCCGGAAGTGCCGCAATTTCTTTAGATCATCCGACAGCATTCTCCGATGGTTACCAGCTTCAGGGAGATCAGGCCATTGTGAAATTTTTTTTTTTTTCTTTAATAAAACTGGCCCCAGCCAGTCAGACTGGGAACTTACTGCCTGAGCTGTTTTCCAACATGGTTTTGCTGGCAAAAGCAGACAAGAGTGTTTCCTTGACTCTCAAGGGGCCTGTTTACACTGACTTTATTTTTACTGCCAGCTTTCAAGTGGGAAGAGGGAGATTATATTTAAAGGTCAGCAGGTGAGCTGAAGGATCCCTGTCCTGCTGTTCCTGGGTGTGCATGCCTCTCTCTATCTGTGCCTGTGTGCCTGTGCGCGCGCACGCGCGCGCGTGTGTGTGTGTGTGTGTTTTCCATCTGCAAATTATTGTGCCTGGATCTGATTGATGAGACCTAATCACTTGTTTGTAGGCAAATGGCGGGTGCCTGGCTGGTAGTTTGGCAGTTCCCTATTTGTTTATTGTAAAGAAGGTAAATCAGTCTGGGGGATTTTCTGGATTGGAGAGCAAGGAATATTTACTGTCAACAGCATAAGAACAAGGAGTTATAAGATACTGGGCTTCAAGGTGCATCTCGTGTTGGGACAAGAAACTTAAAAGGCAGGGAAGAAGCCAACTACAGAGCATTTCTATCTTGAATGGAGCTTTTAAGTATTTGAGTGGGAAATACAACTTGGGAAATTGCCCTTCGGTCAAAGCATCTGTCAGTAGAGCTAAATCGAGTCAAATTAGGTTGGACTCAAATTCAGTTTCCAATTTCATCAACTCTTCTTTTAAAATTCCTTTTCTTAAAAAAAAAAAAAAATCCCCAAAAGATGACAGAGAGATGCTCCCAGTTTAGAAGTGAGAGCTGGAGGGAAGACCTGGGAAGGCCAGTCTCTGGTCCATGTACACCTTCTCAAAGAAACTTAGCACCGAGACTAACATTCTTGGGAAACCAACCTGCAAGTGTTGTCCTCCACTGACAGAAAAACCAAAATGTTGCTGCTCCACTGAGGACTGAACAAGAAGCCATGAAATCCCCGACTGCAGGAGACTTGGAAGACTGCCTTCTGGCTAAGGTAAGGACAGGTGCGGGTCTCTCCCATGCCCCCCGCCCCCACCCCTTCTGTCCCACCAACCTGAATTCAGAAGGGAAGTCAGGCTGCTTTCAAAGATCCATGAAGTGGTCCTCAGGAACCCAAGACCATCACCCATAAGAGTGTTTAGGGCTTACCTTATTTCCGTCCTCTCTCTGAGGTTCTAGTGCCAGAGGCCTTTGGGTACAGAGTGTGGAACAGAAAGTTAGAACGTGGTTGGAACTCCAGCTCTGTAGCTGAACTGGGCATAGTCATGAGCAAGGCCCCGAACCAGCCTGAGCCTCAGCTTTCTTCTCTGTCGAATGGGGGTCATTGAAATAATAGGGTCATTAAAAAAGAGTAAATGAAATTAAGAACACCTTTTGGAAACTATAAAACTGCTATATTTAAAAATGTATAGCATATTTTTAGTACATACCCTTTAAGAGTTAATTGACATTCTTCTAGACTCTTAGACTGTTAGAACTGGAAGGGACCTTAAATATTATCTGACTTAATTCAGCCTTTCCATTTACTGATGAAGTTTTTAAGGCACAGAGCCACCCGTAAAGCTAAAGCATTTAAACTAAGATTAGGGACTGGTCTAAAATTACAGACATGCCTTCACAAGTAAACAAAGCAGAGTTCATTATCACAGTGATAAGTAAAGTTGATTTCTTAGGCAAACCACTTATATGAATAGGGGAAACGTGGGATGATAAAAATTACACCCAGCAAAGTAATTTCCCATTGTTTTCCCTTTTGGGGACTCTTTTAAGTGGAAGGGGAGCTGGCATTTTCCCATGGTCCTGTGTTTTCTGGAAAAAGTTCAAGTTTTTTTAGCCCGGCATCCAAGTAACACTGTATCTTTCCACGCTGTTTCCCAGCATCTCCAATAGCAGAAATTCTCAACAGTGCTCTATACATTGATTCCAGCCTGCGCACAGGTTTTCTTTGGCCTGCAGAGTATTGTTAAATTTTTTTCAAATTTGTTACAAACATTTCATAATAGCGGGATTTTGCATAGAAACTGAGATTTCCATCTTCTCCAGAAAAAGGAAAACATCAGGCTATCTGGCAAACCACAGGTCCCAGTTTCTTGCCTGGTAACTGTGGGCTTGAGTGTGGGTTGAGTGTCAGTTCAACAGAGCATGTGCTTGAGGCTTCTTGGGGAGGGAGGGCGGGCTGTGGCATTCCTGTGCCCCCCTCAGCCCTCCTTCTCAGGTGCATCCCCCTTCTGTCCCCAAAGGTGGTCAGTCTTAATCCTGTCCACAGATACTGTGCCCTGAGAAGGTCTAAGCCCGAGCTTCCCCTTTCTCCTCTGCCAGGGGAGACATCCTCTCTCCCCTCCATTTCCATTTCTCTGGCTCATATTCATCCTTCAGACTCCACTCAGAGCCAACCTTATCTTGAAAGATTTCCTTGACACCCTAGCACAGAATGTTTTGGTTTTCCTGTGAACTGGTCGTAATTATTACTGACAATATTTATTTGGCAATCAGTTGTATATTGACTCTTGACACCTTTCCTGTTACTCTCTTGGGTGGACACATAAATATTATCTCCTTTTACTGTTTATGAGTTTCTGGAGGGGGTGGTAGTGTCTTGGATATCTTCATTCCCCTTGATGTTCACACAGTATCTTTGCACATACATGGTCAGAATAGCTTTAGGATTCAGTGAAGCTAATACAAGAATAGTGTAAAAGGTGCTGGCAGGTTGAGGCCCAGGCAGTATCTCATTGGACCTATCATCCACTGTGTGACATGTGCACATACCCCCAAAAACTTGTCCAAGGTGACACAGCTAGATAGTGAGAGTACTGAGGTATCAGTAAGAAAATTCTGTTTTACTCCAAAGCCATATTTGCTCTGTTAAATCCCTCTGTATCTCCACAAACACACACTGAGCACCTGCTGTGTGCAAAACACCTTGCCCTAACCCAGGTCCAGGATGTGGTCTGTGAACTGAGAGGGGAAGTGTCTGGAATATCTTTAAGGATGGCCCTCTCCTGCCTGCAGATTTCGCACAGAACTCCAAGTGTAAAAGGAAGCTGTTCTTGTGCAGACAGGGAAGTGCTCGGTACAGTACATGGCTGACCACAGGGCTACACTGAGATTTCCACAGGGTGCTGGAGGAGAACCAAGGAGTGTTGGCTCTCGGCGGGAGGCGTGGCCCAGCAAGAGGAGTGGAGACTAAGCCTGAGAGCACGCATTGGGTTTTAAGTGGAGGAGAAATGGAGAGGCCTTTCTGGCTGAGGGAACCCCATTCAAGCAGTCAGTGTGGGTTTCAGGCCCCGCAGTTTGTCCCTGGGGAGGCTGAGCAGTGCAGTGGTTACGAATGTGGGCTGCCAGGTTTGACAGTGCACAGGCTGGATCACCGTTCCGGGAATTAAACTGTCTCAGGCGGAACCCAGCGCAAATTCCTTACACACTCTGAACTTGGTATTTCGTCCTCTGTAAAATGGGGATAATCCTAGCAGCCAACTTCCAGGATTGTGGGGTAGCTCCAGGGAGCTAGCTCTCAGGGAGGGTCTCGTACACGGGAGGGCCTCCCGTCCCTGCTCTGTGGTGCTGGTGTTGGTCTGGTTTTTGCACAATGTATGGAACCTGTAGGGCCCCAACATGTTGCTCGGGGAAGAATGGGTCTGAGAAAACGGGGATATGATGGTGCAGGGCCTCATTTCATCTGGAGATAGCACCTTCCATCTCCATCCTTTCAAACTTTTCTTACAATTTTAGTATACGTACTAGACTTTCCCATCATTAACCCAGGAAGACAGAGATGGTGCTCGTCCTGCTTTTTTTATTTTTGTTTTTGTTTTTAAATATCCTGTTTATTGGATTTAATGCAGCTCCAGAATTAAAATGTCTGGCAGGAAGTTCTCAGCCTTTTATCCCCAGGGGCACTCACAGTGGGTGACCGTGGCACAGGCCACATGCTCACGTGGCCAGACCTGTGTGACATTCCTGGCATGCTGCTTAGTGTTGCCCCTCTGCCTGTCTCAAGAAAGCGTGTTGGAATGCAAGTGAGTCAGAATGCTGTTATGATAGGCAATAACCTTGAATTCTCACTCATTTATATTTGAAACAGTAAATTGTTCTGCACTCGAGCTATTAATAGTAGCAGATGATGTGTGGGGCAACAGTGGGCCAGACACCGGGCTGGGGGTGTGTGGGGGCAGGTACACAGAAACCGCAGGGCAACCTTCAAGGGGGCCTCTCATGACTCTTCTTACGGAAACTCTGCTTCATTAGAGTTCCCGAATCTGCTGGCTAACAGGTGTGGCATAACTTTCTGGGGTCAGTGGGATGGAGGGGAGGCTGAGAAGGTAACGGCGTCTGTGTCATGGGCCCGGCTAATTTCACCCACTTCATTTCTGCTCATGCTCTGTCCCACCCACAAATGCAGCCTTTTAAAAAGAAAAGCACACCTTTTTTCACTGAACTAATCCCTGGGGGAGGCGAGTGAAACTCAGGCCCGCACTGAGGTCACGTTTGAACTGCACGTGCCTTGATTCCTTCTTCTGAAATGACCATGTGTTTCCAAGCTGCGCTGTGGAATGGGTCTGGTGATGGGGCCCCCTCCAGGCTGCACCTGGTATCTCCCTGAAGTTGGACCCACTTGAAAGGGCTTCTGGGCTCTGGCCAATGACAGGTCTCTGTGGTGGCACCTCCTTCTTCCCCCAAGATCAGTCCCCGTAGAGCCGCCTCGGGCCCCGTTCCCTGCTTTTCCACACCCTGAAATGGAATCTTCTTGCTCCACCTATGAGGCTGTGGTCCGGAGGAGCGAGGGAAACTGCCTGGGGTGTCTGGGTTGTGAGTGACACCAAGAGAGTGACAAATGGTCTGTCGGATGGAGCCTGGGAAGCCTTCAGCCTAAGTCCCTCTGGGGCTGCTGAAGGGTGTGGTCCGTAGAGGTGCAGAGGGAAGAACCTAGGGCAGGAAGTGGAGCCAGGGGCGCGACCCATCACCACCTGCAGGGAAGAGGCTGCTACCTGACAGTGGGGGGCTTGAGCACTGGGTGGGAGAGTGGGGGAGGAGGCCTGTCACCTGGTGGAACCCCACACTCAGGACCCTGCTCTGCTGCCCTGGAGTGCCTGTGGGTGTCAGAACAGTCAGTGATGCCCAAAGAAATGGAGACTTTGGATCTGTTACTTCATGAGCCTTGACTTCAGTTCAAATGGAGGGCATGGTTAGGTTCAGGAAGAGGCTAAAGGTAGGTATGACTGTGGGAGCGTCCACTCGGAGGTAAGGCACAGAGGGACAGAAAGAGCAGTGAGGGACCCTGGGCTTAGGGCCAGTCCTGCTGCCAACTGCCAATGTGACATTAGGAGAGCCACCCATCACTGTGGACTCCTATACGTTGACACCAGACAAGGTGATTTCTGAGGTCTCTTCCAGTTCTAAGATACCAAGTCAAAACGGCGGCAGCAGTAATGGAAGAAGGAAATCAAAACCAGAGTTTGTGGCTCTAGGCTCTAGAGCCTACTCTGATTTTTACTTTCAAAAATTGAAACAGGTCATAAAGATGTATAATGAATGAGAGAATATAGGTGTCTTCTAGGGAGTGTCTGAACTGCCTCATTCTGCCCGGTAAGAAAATTCTACCATCCAGTGAGGGCAGAATTTGTAGAAGAGATTCACAGTGGAGAACTTTGTCCAATAGACCACTCATTGTGTGTGTGTATGTGCATGCACACACACACACTTTGTCTCTCAAGCTTTAATCAGTTAAAAATTATTTGACAGTGTCAGGGTGCCTGGGTGGCTCGAAGGGGTAAGCATCTAACTCTTGATTTTGGCTCAGGTCATGATCTCAGGGTCCTGAGATCAAGCCCTGCATTGGGCCCTGTGCCGAGTGTGGAGCCTGCCTGCTTCAGGTTCTCTCCCTCCACCTCTCTTCTCCTGCTTATTCTCTCTCTCTCAAAAAAAAATTATTTGACAGTGTCAATATGGTGATGAATCTTTCATTAGTTTATCAACTCAGGAAATAAAATATACTTGCACGTACAGAGTTAACCACTATGTTGCTGACATTTGAGTTCTATGAACTCCCATCAGTGGACTTGGAGGATTTGTGGCTGAGCCTTAGTCCTCAACACAGTCTAAGGAATTAGGTATTTGAGAAGACTATTTCCCAACCACTCTGACTGGGGGGTTCTATCTAGTTAGCCTTGTATGACTTTCTCCTGCTATTCCTGATCAGACTTGGAGCCCCTGAACTTGTCCAGTGTTCCATCATCTACTAAATGGCTTTGTCCATTCTCTTTCCCCAGCTAGAAAACATGGTCCACCATAGAAACCTTCCCTTGGTCCTTTATCCTTTTCCAGATCTTGCCCATCAAGCCCTCACCTTAGCACCTCCATTGTTACCTTTGGAGGGCTGAGCTGTGGAGACCATCTCAGAGCTGAGTCCCCGATATGCCATACCCCCATGGATCCCCCCACAGCTGAGTCTTGGGAGTGCCTGGCAGTCTTGACATAGGTGCCTGAACAGCGCCCATTCCTGAGATGTGATTTCCACATCAAAGTCTGTCAATCCGCAGTCCCCTATGTTCCCCTCTCCACCTCACACATAGCACATTGCCTTGGCTCCAGCTCTGTAAAGAAAACAGTTCTCAGGCAGGAAATCTCTCAGATTCCTGCACGCCTACCCTTTTATGTGTGTTTATGCCTGTCTCTTTCCTTGTGACGTGCCAAGGTGAATTGCTTACCAGGTTTCTGGATTTGCAAGATGCTCTGGCTGGGAAACCCTGACTCAGTGGTTTTGCTCCCTGCTGTGTTTTCCTTCCCTGCTGACTCCTTTCTCTCAGAATTTAAACATGTACAAACCTGTGTGTTTTGAAAAAACCCGTTGGTGTCCCTATTTTGTTTTTCCCCTTCCCTGGCCCTACTTCCTGGAGGAGGGAGTTGACCTCTGTTTTCCCTTGCTCGCCTCCCACTTACCCTTCACCCACTGCAGTCTGGATTCAGTGCCCACCCCTTCCCTGAACACATCAATCCTGTTCTAGTTGCCAAACATTGTGGACATTTTTGGGGGCCCTATCTCATTGGGCCACTTACTGTTGACTTTGTTCTTGAACAACTTCTTCCTTGATTTTCAAGACCTCTTGCTGCTTATTCTCCCATTTCGCCATCCTCCTCCAAGGCACTCTCTTCTCTGGCAAAACGGAAACCATTGCCATTCTCGCCTTATGCTCCTCATACTAGATACCTGCCATTTGCTCTTTCTAGAACAACCCTCACACTCTTCTCTTTCTAGCTAACTCTTACTAATCTTTCAAGATATAACTCCTCTACGCTGTGCCTCCAGGAAGGACCCCCAGCTTCCAGACTAGATGAAATTTCCCTTTTCTATATACCCATAGCATCCCATACAAACCTCTGCCCAGCGCCACATGGCCGTGACTTTAATTTCCAGTTTCCTTGTCTTGTTCTGTCATACAGACACGTACACACAGCACCTGGCATAAAATGTTCAACCCAGCCGATCATGTGGAGTTGAATCACAACACACAGAAGAGTCCGACCCTGTAGGGGACCCTTTAAAATGGGCTACTAAAAGCATTCTCCTTTATGTTTGGCATAGCAAAGGGTCTGCCCCCTCCCTGACCACCTTTTCTCTTCCACTTGGACACTCTAGAAAATGCAGGATCTTGATAGTTTACAAATGCTTAAGAAAGGTGCCCTCCCGTGATGAATGTAGTGGGTGGACATATGAGAGCAGTCAGTGGGTGCCGACGGCAAGAAGATGATATTAAAAACCTGCATAGGGGGTACCTGGGTGGCTCAGTGGGTTAAAGCCTCTGCCTTTGGCTTGGGTCATGGTCTCATGGTCTCAGGGTCCTGGGATCGAGTCCCATATCTGGCTCTTCGCTCAGCAGGGAGCCTGCTTCCTCCTCTCTCTCTGCCTGCCTCTCTGCCTATTTGGGATCTCTGTCTGTCGAATAAATAAATAAGATATTAAAAAAAAAACCTACATAGACATGATCATCATCCCTAAGGTCAGGCAAGGTCAAGACCTTTGACCCTTAGGTCAAAACATGGGTTTTGAAAAGACTATTTCATGTATATCATGTATTTCCAGGGAGATTTAAGCTCCTTAAGATCAGGAGCCTTGTCTTACATTTCTTGTTACTCTTAGGCATCTGGAAAGTACTAGTTTTTCAAAGATGGTCCCCTGTGTGGGGATAGGAACCTTTAAAGCAGGTCTCAGGCCTCAGATGAGGCCACCTGCCCCGTTGAACCCAGGGGAACACTTCACTTCCCTATCGTGGGCCCCATGTTTATTCAGTCCCTGTGCCTATCTTACCCACTACTGCAGACCATGGCGATGTCTGTGTCACTCATTGCTGTGCCCCTGCGTGTCACAGAGTGCCTGGCACACAGAGGTGCTAAATAAATATTTATTAATGAACTAATTTATATATGTGACACACTTTATACACGTGACATAGACCATGGGTACATGAGCACTTTTGTGTACTGTGTCCATATATGGTTGTTGGGTTTATTGGTGAGAGGTATGAGGCCTCAGATGACTGGACCAGCTGATGATGAGTTCATTTAGAAAAACAGCTAGAAATCTCCTAGACTTAGACATTTTTCTTGACTAATTTATGGGTGTCTTAAATGACTGGAGAATACGTAGAAACAGCCATGACACTGCATTTAGATATATCTGATACTGCTTCCTGTCAGTTCCTGGCCCCGGTCAGCCGCCTCCCCTCCCCCCCCACAAGGGAGACCCTCGTCAGGGCACCAGAATGAGCAACAGAATGGAACCCCCCCCTCCATTTCAGAAAACACAAATGGACTCTTCCCATTTCTTCTTCATTTGGATCTTCCAAACTCCCTGGAGTTTACTAAAGGTGCTGTGTGTTCTCCACAAGCACCTATTTCCCTAGACCTTGAGTATCTGTGAAGGTATGTAACATTAGTGCTCAACTTTCTCATGGTAATTCCTGTTCTTGGGAACTTGCAGTGTGAATTTGAGGGAACATAAATGTGTGCCTTTTCTGTCAGGTCTAGTAGCAAGAGTACCAGGCCCAAAAGAGTCACCATTTATGGTCAACAGAAGGCTAGAAAGCGTCTGCGCTGTGATTACACACATTGAACCTTTCATCTTCACCAGCCTGGACAGCAACCACTCTTACCCCATTTTAGAGCCTCACCATGGCACACAAAGCCCTGAGGGATGGGCTGGCCATGCCAGCCTTTTCACATTCATCTCCCATCACCCTCCTTTCCTTTTTCCAGGCTCCAACCACAGGGGCCCCCTTGCCAGCCCTTGAGCCTTGCCAGGCATGCTCCTGCTTAGGAGATCTGCTGTCGCCTCCTCAGAGAAGCCTTCTGTGGCCACCTGATCTAAATAAGCAGCCCTTTTACTCTCTAGTCCCTTATCCTATTTTATTTGTCTCATGGGATTTATCATTCCCGATATTAGATTATACATGTATGTGTGGTGTGTGTATATATACACATATGTACATACATCCTTTATATATGAGGACTTGTCTGTCTTGTTTGCTCTTCTCTCGTTCACTGCTGTGCCCCAGCACCCACTGCACACAGGCGCTGGGTAAATGCTGATGACTGCTTCTATTTCAGAGGAGAGACTGAGCCACCAGTGAGTGCCACCATGCCTAGGTGCATGTTCCCTGGGGTTCTTGGGAGGGTAGGCTTGTTTGCCTGTGCTCCTATGGTCGCCCACCTCTGGGCCTGTATGTCACATCCTCATGCCAGTGCCCGGTCCCCACCCCAGGAATGACTGCTGTGCTCATCCCTTCCCATCCAGGTGGATGAGAGGCGCCAGCAGATCTCCCAGATTGTGGAGGAGGTGCAGAGGGTCGTCCACCACCTGACTGCAGAAATCAGCCACCAAGACATTCGATTCCAGGCTGTCCCTTACTCTGACACGTACAATGGGAACATCAAGGTAAGCAGGTCTCACTTACTCTCTAAGCGCCACCCAGGGAGTCAGGTACATGGGTGGGCGGGTCTCAGTGCAGCAGGTATCACCCAGCCGAGGGTACCAGTGATCCTTCATGTTCTGCAGGTCCTTTTAGTATTTGCCACTTACACACACACTCCAGAGTTGCTGTTCATGTGAGCCCCCCTTCTGAGGCTCTGAGAAGTCAGATGACCTGATATCCCGTTAGGCGCTACAGCCAGAACTCAGCCCGGGGCTTCGGACTCCAAACACGCTGTGCTGTAATGGCTGAAATTTAGTTAAGCACACATCCATGTAGGCAGTGCCTGCCTGATAGAGGGGGACCTGGGGAGAGGAACTGGAGGCACCTGTGAGAAAAGGGTTGAAAGTAAGAGTCTGGGTTGCAGAGGTCGGGGAGGAGGCGGACCTTAGAAATTGCAGGGGTGGCCTCGCAACCCCTGTCCCCGCTGCAGACAGGACTCTAAGCCACCAGGGCCCATTGACAGCAGCCTTCCTGCAGCACCGAACCATTCTCTCAGAAATGGCCTCCCTCACACCTGCAAACAGCCTCGAGGAACAGACATGGCTCATTGCCTTTCAGAGATGAGGGAAGTGGGCTTCTGAGTCCTTTTCAGTCCCTGTGCTGCTTTGTCTTGATTTTTCTTTATGGCTCATAAGAACCCCTTTTGCGTGTATTAAATATATGTGTATTCATGCCCTATCTCTCACACAAGACTATAAGCTCCTTGATTGTAAAGATCATGTTTATTGATTGATCCATTGCTAGCACCCAACATGGTGTGTGGCCCATGCAAATACTCAGCTTCAGTGAATGAATGAATGAATGAATGAGTAAAAGAAATAGGGCCTGAACTGAAGACCCTTGCTGGTCCAGAACATTCCAAGGTTGTTGGTCACAAGGATTACCCACAAGAATCTGGGACCTGTGTATTTGGGGACAGAGTACAGATTTTGGGAAATTAACCTCAGGATAAAAATTCTAATACTAGATTGGATCCAAACATAACATCGTTTGCCCACTTTTATCGCCCTTCCAACCTGCAGTAGATCATTAGAGACCAGTGACTAGGAGTAGAAACACAAAACCACTTTTTTTTTAAAAAGATTTTATTTTATTTATTTGAGAGAGAGTATGAACAGGGGGATTTGCAGAGATGGATTGAGAAACAAACTCCCCGCTGAGCAGGGAGCCCGATGCAGGGCTTGACCCCAGGACCCCGGCGATCATGACTTGAGCTGAAGGCAGATGCTCAACCAACCGAGCCACCCAGGCGCCCCACAACAACACTTTCCCTAGAATTATATCAGAGGAAATTTCCTTCTGTGGTCTCACTTAGAATTCTTAGGTTAAAATGGATCTTGCATTTCTATACATCGTGTCCTGCATATTAAATTTTGAAAATAGTTGGAGTGGAGCATATGAAATTGATTTTATTTTATCTTGGAACAAATGCAGCGAGTATTAATTAAGCATCATTTATGTGACTATTAACACAATAGTGGTGTTCTCAAATTCCCGTGCAGGTGGGTTCAAAGTATGTGTTGATTTTGAGTGCCAGAGTTTCGATGTGTTCCCTTTTGAAATCCCACCGCCTTTCTGTGGGCACCAGAAGTCACGTGGATCCGTTATCTAAAGCATCACACTGTTGTTGTCTGAGAATGAGGCAGAGTTTGGTGTTCACCCATGAACTGGCCAACGACAGGGCCCTGAGCAAAGATTAACTAGATACTACGGTCAGAACTTTCTACGAGAAGGAGGCGGCCCTTGAAGTGCACAGCTGACTCATGGGAAGAGGTGCGGTGTGGAGTAGGCTGCCACATGTTGTGGCCAGAGGTCAGGCTCCTTCTGGGGGTACCGCACTGCTGGGCAATCTGTTTGACCCTTTGGACTGTTGGATCTGACCACTTTGACCCTTACCTCTACTTCACTGGTACCTGTAGAAATGGAATAGGTAGATTCTGATTGTTTGCTTTATTCTAAGTTTTATGAAACTTAGAATCATCTCAATAGCTCATATGGTCTCAGCAATTGCCTCGCATTCACCTGTGATTTTATAAGGACCGATCATTAATACTGGCCGTGGGCCATCAGTACGGGCAAAAAGATAGGGAGACATTTTGCAGAATCCTTTTGCTTCCTCCCAACACTTCCCATTACCAGACCTTTCACCCAGCCCAGGTCATTCCTCCTTGACTGAGAGCCAGCCCAACATAGATGACAAGCCCTGAACAAGCCGTCAGAGGGCTTAGGCTTACATTCTGGCTCTCCCACTTAACCGGCTCTGTGTCCCCAGGGAGATGTCAGAGCCCCTCTCAGCCTTAGATTCCTCATCTGGGAAATGTTAATGAAGCCCACCTTATAGTGAAACTGGGAAGATCACCTCGTCTAATGCCTGGGCTTGCAGTGCTTAGTATGTGCAGAACTCACTGTATACTGTTTCCTTTCCCTGCTTTCTCTTCTCCCCCTTGGGTACCTCTTAGAGTTCTAGGTCAGGGGCACTCTTCCTTGCAGATTCCTTACACCAAGGACTCAGTGAATTAACTCATCTGCCTGAAGCACTACCATGGTTAGTGGCAGGACAAAGATGGAACCCTCTTGCAGCGGGGAGGTGCAGCCCTCTGTCCATCTTGGCACATTGCCAAGCGTTGAGTGGTTCGTTGAGCTCCCCAGTTTGACAGGTTGGTGCCCCAGAGATTGCTGTTACCTCTGGAGTCCGTGAACTCACACTCCTGTCTCTTTTCTTGACCCCAGGTTTTGGCCCCCAGCCAGTTCCTGGTCACCATCCCAGTGAAGGGCCTGGCCGGGTACAGGGAGGCCAGGGAGCAACGCTGGCGTTACTACACGCTGCAGGGCACGAGGCTGTCCTGCCCCTTGCAGGACCCGGAGGGCCTGCAGCAGTGGCTGGAGGTGGAGCAGTTTATGAAGAGCTTATGGCAGTGGCATGAGGCAGATGTGAACATTGAGGGCGATATTGTGCCCGCCAAGGTCCTCCAGGTGTTCCGGAAGCTGGTAGAAAATGCAATTGGAACCTGTCATCTTTCAGGTGAGCTGATCAAGAACAGGACGAAGGGCAGTTTCTGGCATTTCTTTTTAGCTTTATAAAACCTCTGCTTAGGGACGCCTGGGTGACACAGTCCGTTGAGCATCTGACTCTTGGTTTTAGCTTGGGTCACGGTCCCAGGGTCCTGGAATTGAGCCCTGCATCAGGCTCCATGCTCAGCATGGAGTCTGCTTGGGATTCTCTCTCTCTCCATCTCTCTCTGCCCCTCACACTCATGCTGTTTCATGCTCTCCCTCTCACTATAAAATAAATAAAATCTTTAAAAAAGTAAAAAACAAAAAACCTGTGCTTAAGTGTTACCTGAAACTCGTGCCCCTAAATTGAGACAATAACCTTGTGCTCCTTACATCTGTTCACTCCCCGAAATGTGAATTAGTTCTTTTTTCTGCTTTGACACCCAAGAGTGGGGTGCTTGGATTTCCGTGGATCACTGCCCTGGCAGAGATACGATGACCTTTGGTTTGCACACCCTTTCCTGGATGTGAATTTAAAACCTTGGGTACGCTTTATAAAAAGCAGATTGCAAGCCACAGATCATTGTTACTAGCACATTTCTATCTCACCCTCCAACTGACTGCAGTCCCCCAGTGTCTTAAGATGCCACATTCAGAAACCACTGACTTGTGCCAAAACACAAAAATGAGAGACCGTGAAGAACTGATTAAATTTGACAGTCCGCAAATCTTAAACTGTATGCTACCATGTGGGCATGTGTGCACACACGCACACACACACATTTTGTTCCCACAGAATAAAAAAAGTGTATTTCACGCTGGGAAAAGTGGTGAATTTCCTTAGTTATAAAAGAGTATTTGTAAACCAATAAGAAAACATACAAGTAGAGCAATAGAAATCATGACACCCCCCCAAAAAAAAGACTCACAGAAAAAGAATATAAACAAGTAGTAGTTAAAAAAAAGTGGGAAAAAGGGGCACCTGGGGGGCTCAATCAGTTAAGCATCTGCCATCAGCTCAGGTCATGATCTCGGGGTCCTGGGATCAAGCCCTGCATCGGGCTCTCTGCTCAGCAGGGACTCTGTTTCTCCTTCTCCCTCCGCCTCTGTCCCCAACTCATACTTCAATCTCTCTCTCTCTCTCAATGAAATCTTAAACAAACAAACAAAAAACAGGAAAAAATGTTCCACCTAATGTATATTTCAAGCAGTGTGCATTAAAACACCTAATAGATGGACAGAGATGAAATGTGGGATCATGCTCAGGGTAAGGATGAGTGTGGTACAAAAGGCCTTTTCAAGCATTGTTCTTGGAAGTGTAAATCGGTGCCTACTTCTTAAAGGACGATTAGTCTGTTTTTATTTTTATAATGTGCTTGACTTGACAGTTCAACAATTCCAGTTCTAGAAATAGATTCCTACAGATGAGAAGGAAATAGGCACAAGGGTGTCTACTTCCATAGGCTCTGTAATAGAAAGTAACTTGAAATAATGTCAGTAACAAAGGTAGATTGACAAAATAAATTGTACTATCTCTGCCTTTCGTCCACTGTCCAGCCTTTAAGAATGGGGTACATGTGTGTACACACTGAGTTGGGAAAAATCCATATGCTGGATAATGAAGGGAAAACCAAAGTGCTGAACAGGACGCAATTCCACATGTGTAGAAAGAAAAGGATTTGAATGTACTTTTACTTGTCTGGACAGAACTGTTCTGAAAGTTTCCGTGATGGAATTAACCCATGTCGAATGGATTCTTACCATGTATAGGATGCTTTTGTCATGTGCATAGCAACCCTGGAGAGTCAGAGTTATTTTTCTGCCTGTTTTACAGATGAGAACACTGAGGTTTAGAGAGATGAGCTAACATGCGGGAAGTCACGCACCAAGCAAGCAGAGCCAGGGCAGAAGTGAGGTGTGGACGGGGCAGGCTGGTTCCAGCATGTGCTGACCTCTTCACTTTGAAACAGTGGTAATAGTGAAAGTGCAAATGAGACCTTGCAAATGGGCCAGGTTGATGAGATGCTTTCAGTAAATAATGCCAGGGTGCCAGACGTCGTCCTGTTCCTGTCTGGGCAGCTCTGATGAGATGCAGACAATAACCTCTTTATCCCACGCCAGCCCAAGGAGAAGAATGTTTTCCTTTTGAATAGCTTAACACGATTAATGAGTGAGCTTCCATTTTCTTCTCTGAGCAAACAAGAGAAGAATAATAGATCCTGATCGAGACAGCTTATCCTTATCTGTAATGAAGGCAAACAAAAAAACTACTGTGCATCTTTTGAAAGAAGGGGGGTGCAGATCAGCAATGAATTCTAGGACAGGAGCTGGAAAATGCTCCCAGATGCATTGATTTTTCTCTTCCTCTCGTTGCCTGGTTGGAAGAGGTAGTGGGAGCTTCTTCCCACTCCTTCGACCCTTTTAGCCAATGGCGATGACACACTTTGAAGCATTTTATAATTACAAGGGCTTGGGATGACAAATATATTGGAGGCCATACTAGCTTGATGGATGGTGAAAACAATGCTGAATGGTGGAGACGATGCCATCCGAGAGACTGGGAGTCGGGTAGGGAACGGGTTAAGCAGAACTCCACCAGGGGCAGATGGATGAGTTGGGTGGAATGCTGTCCCCAACAAGGTCAGGACATCTGGGCACAATGGAGGGGGCGTAGAAGAATGGTTGGATTTCATTTTTACTAGCAAATAGTCCCTCTTTCCTTTGTCTTCTGTGTCTCTTTTCTTCAGTTGAGCCTTCTGAAAAGAATCTTATTACTTTCAAAGAAAAGGAACCAGAAAAGCCCTGGGGGAGGGGGGAGAAAGGAAAAAGCAAGTCACCCACCACGAGATTTGCTAGCAACGTTTCTATCCATATTCACTTAATTGTCTAGTTTAGCCATAAATACCCCAGCTTTGGAGTGCTACCAACCTGGGCAAAGCTGCCCCACCAGGCACAGGGAGCTGCTCGCTGCCCCTGCTCCCCAGTTCCTCCTTTGAACGTTCGCAGGGAGCGGGGCTTTCTCTTCTCATTGCCTCTTTGTCATTTCCCACCAGGTAAGGTCAGCATGCTAACACGCCACTCTGCAGTTTGGGTTGCCGTGGAAACAGCCACAGGGCAGGTGGAGCTAGAGCTGGTCCCCGCTGTGGAGATCCCTACTGCCTGGTCTGCGAAAGCTCGGTGGCCTCCCTGTCTGAGGCGCTGGCCTTCCCGACAGAGAGTGGAGTGCATCAAGGTATCGGGTAGCGGAGGGCCCAGTTCCCCAAAGTAGAGGCACTCACAGCTTACCCATCCGTAGCATCACTGACTGCCAGCCAGCACTGGAAGGGAAAAAAGAGCTTTCCCTCGAGCAGCGGTGCTCCAGGTGGGGGCCCCACAGTCCGCAGCAGCCCCTGAGAGCCTGTTAGCAATGCAGATTCCTGGGCCCTGCTCCTATCCCTGGGCAGGGCCCGGCAGTCTGGGTCTTAACAAGCTCTCCAGGTGCAGGCTTGGTTTGGAGAGCCAGTGCCTTCGGGAACGTGGACACAGCCTCTCCCATTCCCTGTGCACAAGGAAGGGGTTTGCCCTGAGCCTGCCTCCACGTCCCCATGTGGGAGGTTCTGCCTGCCTAGTGGCAGGTTCCCCCCACCACCCTGCCCCAGAGTAGTGGATAGCTTCAGAGATGGCAAGCCTCCTCCCCCCTCCTCATTTTCCTGGTGTTTTTCTCTTTTCCCAGTCCTTTGGGTTTGCCTTGTTGGCCTGTTCCCATTATCACTGGCAGCTGAGTTTCCTGCAGGCCGAGCAGGTGCTGCTGGAGCAGCTGGACGAGGACGGGGGCTGCCGCAGGAAGTGTCTCCGGGCCCTGAGGCAGATGAAGGAGGACGTCTGGTGTCCAGGAAAGAGGCCGGTCATCACGTCCCACCATTTGCAGGTGAGTGGGTGCACCCCGAGTGTGGGTGCATCCTCTCTGGGGGCCCCACGCTCTGGCCAGAGCCACTCCCGGTGGGGGTGTATGTATGAGTCAGATTCGAGAGGGGGCGCTGGTGTCCTGATTGGCCATCCCATGTACTGCTGCCTGGTGAGATCGCGACCCCCCGGGCCATCTGTGTGCCCACCACAGCCCTGCCCAAGCTGAATGGCCTCCTCCTTTCTTTGGCCCTCTTATCCTCTTTCCTTCCTTTTGGTCGGTTCCTCTTTTTCTTCTCTATCTCTCCCCTCCACTTACTTTAGTCGCCAAACCAACACGAGTGCCCACTGTGTGCCAGAAACCACGCTGAGGTTCAGCGCCGTTTTCACCGTATGACTCCTGCCCCTGAGAAGCCAACAGTCTGGGGACAGCTTGCAAATGGCTTGACTTGGGGGAATTCATGTTTTCCCTGACATTAGGACTCCCTGGGTCTCCACTTCAGCCTCGTGAGGCCACGGCCACATGGGGGTGGGGGGACACCAAGAAGTGGTGATTGCCATGGGGTCATGGCTACGGACCGGAACTTCCGGGTTCCAGATCCTCAGGCAGGGATTTCCCCTTCCTCTGCAGCACTTGCCTCCTTCCCCAAACCCAACCATATACATTCATGACTGCCTTTACTCACTCGTTCAGCAGATGTTTATTGAGGTTATTGTGGGCCAGACACCTGTTGTGTGCGCTACCCGTGGAGGTCCCAGGTGAGCAAACATGGAAAGTGGTTCCTGCTCCCTTGGAGCCGACAGTCCAGTGGGGGAGACGGGCCGTCAGGTGGTCCCCCAGGTGCACGTGGCATCACACAGCATGGGAGCACCGGGGAAAACAGACCCAGAGCAGCAGACCCTGGCCCGGGCTGGGACATCACGCGGTATACCTGGGGAGGGGGCATTCCATCACACCCTGAACTCCTCTTTTGCAAAATCCCAACGGTACATGGTGAACAGGCCATTCATGGAACACGCTGTGTGGTGCCCTGAGGTTTGGAGGTGGCAAGTGGACTTAGAGACAGCACAGCCCAAGCCTAGCTAGTGTGTGTCCGGGAGCTTCTCCCTGACCTTTTGCACAGGTGAGCACAGGCTGCCTGTCTGTGCGGTGCCTTCCTGCTTGTGCCCCGTCTTGTTCAGGGGACCACCATCTTCTGACCCTGGATAACTCCTCCAGCTCCAGTGTAAGCTCTTGAAGAGTAACTACTACTGCACCTTTAGTATCTCTCCCAGTGCTGTGTACACAGTAGTTGCTCAATAAATATTTGTTGAGCAAATGAATGAATGCTTTCACATCATATTCAGCTTTCTCCCCCCATGAAGGCCGTAGTCTCTGCTTTTCTTTCTCCTCTTTCCTAATATCCTGTCCTCTTTGACCTCTCCAAGAATTAGTTAATATATCATTTGCACACCCCGGGGCCTTTCTCTGGAGTTTCAACATTCTCAGTATGTGCCCACGCACATTCCCCTAAAAACGCCCACCTGTTCTTGAGGGCATGTGCTTGCTGAGGATGGTCAAGTTCACTCGGCAGGTTTGGCTTCTTGCTCGCTTGCCTTCCTACAAGCCACACTGGGAAGGGTCAGAGCTGAGAAGCAAGTCCCATTCCATTTCATCTGGAACCTCGAGATCTTAACCAATGACTTCACTGCCTCACAGTTAAGATGGATGGAAACATATTAAGTGACATGAACATTTTAGACAAGATTGAATAGGGCCACAATTTGCTTCCCATCCCTTGACTGCTGTCCAAACTGCACTACACGCAAGGATGTATTTTTATTCCAGTGGCTTCTCCATCACTAGAGGATTTTAGGGCAACTCCTTAAATGTGCTTTGTTTCAGTTCTCCCTAACTCAGTGACAGAGTGCAGAATCGTGCATTCTCAAGAAGGGGCAGTTGAAGGGGGGTGGGCACTCATGGAGAAGGGCAGGACGGACAGAAGTAGTACTAGCTGCCTGTTCTTCTAGTGTTCCATCCTTGGTCCCGGATGTCCTCACCTTTAGACATAATGATGGATGTGGCTGGTGACCATGTGCTGTTAGACACCATCCCGGATGATGGCTTGAGTGGGCAGGATCCTTGCCAAGACTTCAGTCTGGGGAGAGTAGAAGAGCTGGGTTGCAAAACAGCCTCAGGAAGGGTGTAGGAGTCGTCGTCACCCCATCTTCAGTCTGACACGGTCTGAGGAGGTTCTCGCCTCCTCCCCAAAGCAGCTCTCCCCCAAAGCAACTTTGTGTGAAGAAGAGCTCATCCTTCATTGGCTTGCTTCTTCCTAAAACCCACTCAAAGGCACAGGGGTTTGATGCTAAGAAGCTTAACCACTTCGGGTTTGCTTAGGCAGATAAAAGCTTAACTGCGAGAGGGATTAAAGCAGGGGTGTCTAGGTTATCTTGATAGCATGACTTTATCGCCAGCTCATTCACGTTGCACAATGTGATCTAAATCAAAACACACTCAGTGGGTGCCTGGGTGGCTCAGTGGGTTAAAGCTTCTGCCTTCGGCTCAGGTCTTGATCCCAGGGTCCTGGGATCAAGCCCCACATCGGGCTCTCTGCTCAGCGGTGAGCCTGCTTCCTCCTCTCTCTCTGCCTACTTGTGATCTCTCTCTCTCTGTCAAATAAATAAAATTTTTAAACACACACACACTCAGGATCTTGCTGTGAAGTTGCAACTGCTGTTTTCCTTTCTCATAGAGGCTCTCTTTAAAAAATGCTCAATATCCAGATCATAATATTAATGAATTATTTCCCTTAGTCAATAAACATTTTTGACTGCCTGCCATGGGCCAGCTCCTCTGCTGGGTGCTGTGTGACATCAGAGCCATGAAATAGGTATTGGCCTCTTCGTGCACAGAGCTTACAGCCTTGTAGGGGATCGCATACATAAATAACAGAGATGACAGCAACCGTGGTCACGGGCATTCTGAGAAGTACGTGGTGAAGAGAGTGTTGAACGGTCTCGTAGGGGCATATGATCTGATGGACAAGTGTCCTGGACAAATTGGGGAAGGAAGTGTGTTCCAAGCAGAAGAAGTCGGATGTGCAAGAAGTCCCTCTGGGGTAGCAGAGAGCGATGTGAGGCCAGTGGGGCTGGAAGAAGAGAGTGAGGGAGGCCGAGGGCTGGCAGAGGCTGGAAAGGAAGTTAGAGCCCCACCCTTGTAAGCCAAAACCCTCTGAAGAATTGTGGTTTTTCATTAACCAGCCAGGAGAAGGCTTGAAAGTCTTTCAGACAAGAAGAACCATGGATTTGTATTTCTTTTTTTTTTTTTTAAAGATTTTATTTATTTATTAGAGAGAGAGAGAGAGCATGAGCACAGGCAGACAGAGTGGTAGGCAGAGGCAGAGGGAGAAGCAGGCTCCCCGCTGAGCAAGGAGCCCGATGTGGGACTCGATCCCAGGACGCTGGGATCATGACCTGAGCCGAAGGCAGCCGCTTAACCAACTGAGCCACCCAGGCGTCCCATGGATTTGTATTTCAAAAAAGATCATGTTGGCTACAGCATGGGTGGTGACAGGATGGGGACAAGAATGGGGACAGAGGTCCGGGTGAGATGGAAGAGGAGGATGACCGTGGAGATGAACATAACAGGGGGAGATGGAAGAACCCCTTTGGAGGACTGGGGGGCTTGGTGACGCTGGTGAGGGAGGGTGACTCCCGGCTTGTGTTTTGCATGAGGCTAGACAGCAGCTCTGGGGACATGGGAAAGCCGGGAGTTCAGTTGGGACAGGCTGATGGAGATAACCTTCAGATTTCCAAGAGATAACAGGTGAGGAAGAGGTCAGAGGAGAAGTATGGCTTGGAGAAAGAAAACTACAAGTGACTTCCATGTGTTTGGTAGGGATTCAGGCCACTGAGGAAGGAAGCAAGAGAGAACAAGAGAAAGAGGATGTGGAACCAAGCCTCCAAAACTCCAGACTGAGGCAGTTAAGGGGCTAACATGCCAAGGCATAGCTGTAGTGCCTGGAGAAATTCAGGGAGTGTGGTGGGTCGGAAGCCAGTGAAGAAGGACTCAAGGGAGGCTGTGAGTGGGAGAATTGATTCCGCTGAAAGGTCAGGTAGGGCCAGGGCGGGGCAAGACCTGAAGGACTTAGCAGCACGGAGATCATTGGACCTCACAGAGAGCAGCTTCTCAGGGCTGATGGCAGAAGAATCCGTGTGGCAGTGGATTGAGATGGGAATCAGAGGAGGGGAAATGACGACTGATAATTGAGCTGATTGTTTCGAGAAGCCTGCACTTGCAGAGGGATGAGAGGTTAGGAGGGAGCTGGGCCCTGGGACAGGGGGTGGGGCAGGAGAGCTGAGAGCAGTTTCGAGAGCCTGTGAGAAAGAGGGAAGTCGGTGACAGCTCCTGGGAGGAGGGACCCCAAGCCTTGCCTGGGGTTCACCTGGCTAGGTGGGACAGTCAAGCGGAGAAGAGAGGAAGAGGGTGCTGAAGGCAGAGATGGCTAGAACTGTCTGGTTTGCTAGCATGAGGGTTTCCATTTTCCCTATAAAGTAGGAGGCAAAGCCATCTGCCCAGGGTTGGGGGATTGCAGATTTAAGGAGAGTGTTGGTCACCGGAAATGTCAGTGGCGAGAGAAACAATGACAAAGGCACAGGAGACTGGCCAGACGAGGCCGAGAGCACACCTGAAGGGGGGCTGTGAAGTCACAGCAGAGCCTTCCTGCCCTGGGTGAGACCCCCTTCTCCCTTCTTCCAAGGCCATGTGAGCGGGGTAACATTCCTGAAGATACTCTCCTCTGTGTCCCGGAACCATGTCTGACAGCACCTCTTCCTTCCCCAGACAGTGCTCTTTTGGACTTGTGAGAAGTACCCGCACCCGAAGGACTGGCGGGTCTTCAGCAAAGCCTTCCTGCGCCTGGTGAGGAAGCTGCACAAGTGTGTAAGCCAGCACTTTCTGAAGCACTATTTCGTGCGAAAGAGCAACCTCCTCCGGTCTGCCAACTCAGGCGACCTGGACGCAATGGCCCAGAGGTTGGCCCTCTTTCTGAAGAACCCCCAGATCAGCCTGCCCTGAAGCTGCCCCTGCCTGGGAGGCCCTTGGACACTTGATCCTGGCTTGACCTCATTCTCCGTGGACAGAAGCACCCTACAGAGTAGGAGAGTGCAAGGACCCAGGAGCGCCAAAGAGGGGAACACTGTACCCCAAGATGGCTGACCCAGGCCTCCGTGGAGCCAGGATTTCGGCCCTCACTAGCTACCTCCCTTGGGGACAGCTGTCCTCAGGCTTCCCCGAGCCACTGATTCTGAGCTGATGACAGACTGCACTGATGGGTTCTGCCTTGCTTGGGCTCCGGTTATCTACGGAAGAGAACAGTGACAGGACCTGTTGGAAGGCCAGGCATCCGCCTGTGGCCCAGGAGTGGGTCTCTAGCCCACTGGCCACGGTTCTTCTTGTTCCATTTATAAAATGCAGCTGTGAAAATGCCTTTGTCAGAGCAGGGCTGTGAGCCTGGGAGACTGTGCTGGGGTCCCCTAGGAGAAAGACACTGGAGCAACACAAAGTGTTATTCTTTGGTTGGTAGCCAGTGTTTGCCTCCGGCTGGATGGGTCCCAACACCACTCATTGAATGACTGCATCTGATGGCTTGGTGTGCCTGCTGCCCTCCTGTTCTCCTGAACTGTGTTTCGGGGCCTGTGGTTCTGTCTGCCTCCAGGCTGTCCTGCAAGTAGGGAGAAGGTGGTTTTGACAAGTAGTGTGGGTCAAAGATGAAAGTGCAGCTCTGTTTGCCAGGGGCTCCCGTTGCCTTGAGCCCCAAGCCAGGTGTTTTGGGAATGCACTCAGAACAATGACCTACATGGAAGGATTTGGTGTCACCTCTCCACACCTGCCTTTGCTCACTTCATTCACTGGGCGATAAATATGTGCTCATCAGGCACCGGGAGTATTACCAAGAATGATACGGTGGAGGGTTGGACCTGTTGGAGCTCAGCGCCTAATGGAGACAAGAAGTGAAGGACAGATACACAGACACAATTTTTACAAATTGTAGCAAGTTGCCCTGAAGGAAACAAACAGAATATTGAAATAGAGCCACAGAAAGCTCCTGGAAGGATGAAAATGCAAACAGCTAAAGGGGAAGGGAAGCGTGGCCAGGGCAGGCTGGGCAGGGCTGGAATAAGATCACGTGACATTGCAAAGCTGGTCAGGAATTTGTTATTAAAGTCCTGACCTTTGGCCTCTCCCAGAGCAGTAGGGTATTCTAATCTGATTTGCATTTTGTTTATTTGTTTATGACTTGAATTTGAAATGCCCATTCTGGGGATTGCATAAAGGGGGCCGAGGGACCCACATGAGAGTCGATGCACCAAAGGACAGTAAGCCCCCATTTTGAATTTTACTGTCGTCCACCGGGCCACACATCCAGTGCAGCACATGGGCAGGAACTCTGGGTGCTTGAGCAGGTCATTGCTTTCTCCCTGCACTTATTTATGCTTCTCAACTCAAGGGAATCCTTTATCCCTTAGAACATGTTTCCCAAGTATGGAACACTGAAATTTCTAAAAGCATGAACTACTGACTTTGAAAATTGAATTTTTTTTTTTTTTTTTTTTTTTTTTTTTTTACAAAAGTACTGTAACCATATGCTGGGGGCATAGGAAATCATGGTTTTAAAATGTTGAAAAAAAATCCTTTCAAACGTACGATAAGTTTATAATTTTTGAAAACATGAAACAATGAGCAAACCAATGTTATCAGTATATGCATTCAAAGTCTCATATTCTGGGGCCTTGGGAAACGTCATTTTTGAGAAGGTAGCAGTTCATTTTTTTAATGATGAAAACAACGGAAGCAAGGTTGTTTTGTTACTGTTGTTGTTGTTAGGGGAAATGGGACAGAGGGAGAGGGGGAGAGACTCTTAAGCAGACTCCATTCCCAGCCCAGAGCCCAACATGGGGCTTGATCTCATCACCCTGAGATCTTGACCCAAGCTAAAATGAATAATACTCTTAACGGACTGAGCTCCCTAGGCGCCGAATGCAAGTTTAGCAAATAGCTGTACAGTTGCAAATGCCAAGAAATGAAAGTTGTCTGGACCATTGATTGGAAATATGTGTATGTGTATGGAAAGGAGTGGAACTGGCATCCTCCACAGACCAGATTCTGGTAGATTCTTGCCCCTACCTTTCGCTATCCACCAGTGGTCTTTGAAGGAAGCAGGATTCCTGGAATCTCTGGGTTCCTGGGTGTTCCTCTGCTGGGCAGCAGAGGGCAATGGAGGACTGCCTACAGAAAGAGCGTCTTTCCCACCCATACCCCTCAGGGCCCAGTAGGTGGCGCCCTCCTCAGCCCATAAACTTAAATTTGGCTTTTGGGAGAAGGGTTTCAGTTGATGCTGAATGACTGACCTTTCCCGCCACCTTGGCTAGCAATTACAGGCTTGGTGCTTAAGGCTCAGACTTTAAAATGGAGCCCATGAGAGAGGAGTCCATCCACTCTGTTTGCAGGGACAGAGTTTCTGGCCCTGAAAAGTCTGATATTAACTCCTTTGTTCTAGGCAGTATTTGTTTATTTATTTATTTTTTAAATTCTCCAAAAGACCTATTGTTTTCATGTCCAGTCTGGGCACAGGTGGACTGGTTGGTAGTCAGCCCCTGTCGTTGACCTGCTTGCCTTTGCGTCTCAGCTCTGACACAACTGTGTGCCCTTGGCAAGTTCACCCCTCTCTACGTCTCCATTTCTTCATGCGGATGGTTAGGGGCTGAATTGTGTTCCCCCTCCTCCCGCCAAAATTTGTACATGGAGGCCCGTACCGCCAGCACCTCAGAATCTGACTCTGTTTGGAGATGGGGCCTTTAAAGAGGTGACTAGATTAGAATGAGGCCGTTATGGTGGGCCCCAATCCACCAGGACTGACATTCCTGTGGAGAAGGGGTGGAGGCACCTGTGGGCAGGGGTGCAGGGAGGAAGGGCCCTCCTGCCAGCTGAGGAGTGAGGCCTCAGGAGAAGCCAGTACTGCCAACACCCTCATCTTGGGTTTCCATTCTCCAGAACCATGAGGAAATAACGTTCTGTTGTGTAAGCCATGCGGTCTGTGGTATTTTGGGATGGTGACCCTGGGCAAAGAATCTGGGCCTGAGGAGAGAGGAGCTACCTCAGGGCTCTGAGGAGGGGAATAAGCAGAATAATGGATGCTAGAAACTCCTCATTTCGTAACCTGGCACCTAGGAAGCGTGGCATACGTGCTTCGCATTTTAGACACCAACTCGTCATGGCCATTGCCTCTCAGCCAGTCCTGGTGACGACCCCCATCCCATGTGTAAATTCTTCATGAACAGATTAGAAACCATCAAAGGAAAACATGGGCAGAATTCCACCACGAATTCCACAAACCCATCTTGTCCTTTGTCCCTCTTGCTTACCAGAAGAAGTATCTCTCGACTTCTCATGTGTTGGAGCCATGTCACCCAGTGTCTCAGGGACGGCTTTCCATTCAGTGCCTGTCATGTCCTCCATTTCCTCTTGCAAGTGTCGCCCCTTCTTTCCCCCTTTCACTGTCCAGCTTCCTGAGCTGTTGGCCACATGGCCCCACTTCCTTGCCTCCACACACCTTTTTTAAGTGAAAGATACACATGTGAGAGTTGAAAATATTTAAAAAACAATAAAACAGACACCAATATATTCACCATCTAGCTGAAAAATAGCATTTGGCCAGGACTTTAGAATTCTAGGTGCTCTTCCGTCCCCTAGCCCCCTCCCTCCCAGATTTTATGTTAGTCATTCTGCTGCTTTGCTTTATAGTTCAACTACCTATCATATTTCATTGGACCCAAGCCCCCCCACAATTGTGAGGCACATCTTTGTTTCGTGTCTAAGGTCATCACAAGACACCACTGCTTATACGATGCGTCCTCCCCCCTTTTAGGGAGATAAGGAAATGAAAAGTGAATTTTGGAATCAACAAAACAGGACCTGCGTGCATCCGAATGTCTTTTTAGTTGCTTGGGTTTTTTGAGCTTTATGTAAATGGAATCCTATTGTACAAAGTCTTCGTGACTGGTGACTGGCTGTTGGACACAGTGTGCTTCTGAGATTCTGCCATGGGGTGCAGGTGGCAGTGGTGTGTTCCTTTTCACTGCTGTGGAATGTTCCACAGTGAGCTTATGCCACTGTACATGTTTACATTACTGTAACTAGTATGTTTTCATTACTGATTTATAAACAGATTACATTATAGTCAAAGACAATGTCTTGGGCCCTCTAGGTGGCCGATTGGGTTAAAAGTCAGACTCTCCATTATATGTTAATAAGAATAATTTAAAAACAGTAAGTCAGACTCAATTTTGGCCATGATCTCAGGTTGTAAGATAGAGCCCAGGGGAGTTAGGCTCTGCACTCTGTGGGGAGTCTGCTCGTCTCCCTCCCTCTGCCCCTCCCCTACTCTCACATGCGCTCACGCTCACTTGCTCTCTCTCTCTGTCTCTCAAACAAATAAATAAATTTAAAAAATCTTAAAAGAAAAGGACAGTGGTTTGAAGGCCCCAATCCTGGGATTCCCGTGGAGGCCGGCTTCTCGCCCAGCTCTGTTGCATTGGTCCGTGCATACCAGGGGGAACGAGCTTAGATGCAAGGTGCACGGAACGTTAGACCATGAGCTGCTCAAAGTTTGTGTGTGTTTCAGGTTTCTTTCGGGCTGCATTTTCCAACATTTACCAGGAGAGTTGTTTTAAAATTTCCCATTACGAGTGTGGATTTTTGTATTTCTCCTTAGAGTGCTGACAACGTGTGCTTACACGCTTTCAGACTGTATTATTAGGGACACACAGGGTTAGAATGTTTGTATCTTCCCGTTAAGCTGAAGAGTTCATCATCGTAAGGTCACTTTTCCTTAACTATGGTAAACATTTTGCGTAAACATTGGTTTTGTCTGATACTAATATCAGGACACCACCACTTTTATTTGCCCTACAATATCATTTCCATCCATTAGCTTTCAACCTCTTTGTGTCTCTTATAAATGGCTGATTAAAAAAAAAAAAATCCCATCTGACAACTGGGGTCTTCTGACTCTAATGTTTCATCCATTTACATCTATTCTGATGACGAATGCATTTGGATTTATTGCTACTCTTGTATTTTCTATGTGACCCATTTTCTAAACCAGATTCTTCTGTCTTTCACACCACCGATCTTGTCTTTTTAAATATATATTTAAGGGTTTTTTTTTCTTTTGCTACTTCTTTTTCCTTCTTACTAGTGTGTAAGGTCCATACGCTAACTCTCTGTCCTTTTAATGGTTACCAAGGCTATTTGTACACATAGACTTATTCTGTAGGCTGAAGTCAAAAGTTAACCAATAGCCTTTTTCCTCTCAACAAAGACTGCATGCAGGAGTTTGGCTCCTGTCACTCCCCTCCCCACATTATCTGCTATTATGACCCCAGATTTGGATTCTAGCATGCTTGCCACTCCTCACCACACAGACACACACACAGCTTGTCTTTTATCCCACAGTATGCCCAGTGTGCGGCACATAGCAGACAACCAGTAACCCTGCAGGGCACAAGTGACTGGAGCTTCCAGCAGCAATGGGACAGGCTTCTCATGATGATTTTGGTTTGAGCATTTGGTGGAACATTTGGTTTGAGCATTTAGAGCTTTAAGTATCCTGATGTGGTATCTGATACCCCAGGAATTCCCTGGTCTCTGCCCACCATTCACAATCTGGGTCCTCTCCAGTTTTCAAATCATGTTACTCCTCTGCTCCCAGTCCTCCAATCCCTTCTCATTCCACTCATCCAAAAATCCAAAGGCCCAGATACTCTGCAGCCTTCGAGCTACCTGAACCTATCTCCTCCTCCTCTCCTTTCTCACACCCACCTCCAGTCACACCTTGCTCTTCTAGAACATTCTAAGCATGACTCCACCTTGGGACTCTTTACTTATTGTTCCC